TTGCCGGGCCCGGCTTCTCCTCGGGTAAGTGCTCGGTGTGGGGGTAACACAGCTGAGGCTCCCTGTGCCTGCAGAGCTGCACGGCCCGTGGTACGAGCAGGTCAGGGGTCTCGACACCCGCCTGTGCATGTGCCTTCTCCAGGCTGTCTTGCTTGCAGAGACCTTGTCCGTTTCCCCCCAATTCTGCTGCCTCCCACCGCCTTGGATAGCCTGGCCTTGGGGCTCTGCAGCTGGCAGATGGGAGGCCCCTTTGGGAACTGTTCTTTTATCGAACTGATTTCTGTCAGGAGTTGAAAAAAAACATGTTTTCAATCAGTAGTCAAAATCAAGAGGTAAACATACTTCATTAAGGGGTAAATGTCAGCTCTTCTCTCTGAGGCAGATTTGTAATTGTGGAGGCCTGTTCAGAGGGACCTTTCAGTTTCTCCTTGGGAAGAGCTGGGGAGCAAGGGCAGGAGGCACATCTAAGTGCTACAGCTGAGCAGTGCTGAAAGTCTTTAATATAGACTGTGCTTCAGAAAACTCTGTGCTGAGCATTTCTCCTATGAGGAGAGGCTGAGAGCTGTGACTGTTCAGCCTGGAGAAGAGAAGGCTCAGGGGAGATCTTATTAATATCTATAAATACCTAAAGGGAGGGTGCAAAGAGGACAGAACCAGGCTCTTTTCAGTGGTGCCCAGTGACAGGACCAGAGGCAACGGGCACAAACTGGAACACAGGACCAGTGTGTTCTGAACCCATCTGAACATCAGGAAACACTTCTTTTTCACTGTGAGGATGACCAAGCACTGGAGCAGGTTGCCCAGAGAGGTTGTGAATCTCCATTCTTGGAGACAGTCAAAATCCATCTGCACATGGTCCTGGGCAACTGGCTCTAGGTGGCCCTGCTGAAGCAGGGGCTTAGACCAGATGTCCTCCAGGGGTTCCTTCCAACCTCAACCTTTCTGTGACACCTTTACCTGGAAGTCCCTGCGTAACAGTCTTTGCTGTGTAGGCAAGCAAGCTAGATCATAAAGGCCAGGAGGCATTTAAAATCCGGGACCCTCTAGCCTTGTTGTGATATACTGATGCGCTTACTTCTGTCACTAGGGAACAAGCCTGTAAGACGCAAGACTAACAACAAAATCATGTCAACATCTGGTGGAAGTGGCCGCTCTCCCCTCAGCATCCTACAAGATGATAATTCCCCCAGTGCTCCTGCCCCTCGCCAGGTAAGTCTTAGTGATTCATACTGTGGGAGGGAGAATGGGCTGGGAAAAAAAAACACCACCCAAAAAAACCCCAAAACAACAACAAACCCCCCCCCC